AAAAATCACTGATTGAGTCAGTACTTATAACTATAATTTCACTAATAATCTATAATTAAACTATTTAATATTAATCTATAATTTCACTAATTACCAGTGAAATACTTGGGACTGATGCATTCAATGAATAACCATTGATAATCAGTGACTATGCATTGATTCTAATTTAGAGAATAATATTGCTTAAGTGCTTTACACTGCTTTACAATAATTTTGAAAAGACATATGTACTATTTAGAAAGCTGCTTACAGAGCTCATATAACATATAAAAATTTACCTAAAATGAGTCAATTTATTTTGTGGCCTCTCATCGCTTTCGTCTATAAAAGATTCATCTCCAATAAATAAACACAACTTGGGATCAGTCAAAGCTATCTGCTCCTCAATTGCACCATTTGGGTGTCCTTGATATAATTTTACGTCATTTGTCAATTTCTGTTTACAGTACTGACATCGCTCTATCGCAACAGTCGCCTTTTTATCTTGAGATTTTAATTCCAAATTCTTTTTACTTTCTGTTTTTGTTCTCTTCTCTGGAGTCTCTTTTATCTCTTCCTGATTTATTTCTGGATCATGATTTTCCTTATTAAATTCTGAAGTAACTTTTCCATCTGTTTTCGTTTCGACCTCATGAAGATCAGACAATGTCGTCTCCACACTTGTTTCAGTATCCATCACCTTTTTCTTTGCAGATGGAACGGAATTAATTTTGGAATTTGATTCAGCTTCTTCTGCGACTTCATCTACGTTACCGTTTTCACTTCTCTTAAGTATTTTCTTTCTACTGCAATCTGAATCGCTTTCTGTAACAAAGTAACACAAAGTTATTATTCACGAATAGTTAGGCATTCATAATTATATCTTACATTTAATAAGTGTGAAAGTAACAGAAAACATTTTTATTCTTTCATTCCCATTTTGAATAAGTTCTAGCGTAAAGTATGAAAATTCTCTAAATAATTCCGATAATTAATATTTTGACTGGCTTTTCATGGCTCTAAGATTTTTATGGTTTTAATTACTGACGATTGTATGTATATATTGTTTTGAAGCAATTATTTCAAGTAATCTACTGAAAATGATGTAAAAAATCTATAATATACATAACATATGTACATCGTAATATTTTTGCATTATGTCATATTTTTTGTGAATAAGGTTCCTCTTCCCCTCCCCAGATAACAGTTCACAACAGCTGAGCGGTCGCTTAGCCAAGTGGCTGCAATTACTGGAGTTATCATCTTTAGCACTCACCTTCCTGTTCGTTCCTTAATCTCCGGGTGTCAGGGTTAACGTGACGTCGTTTGCGGGCTTTGCGGGCCATCGCGAGAAGGATCGGAACGGCAGGATCTGCGAAAGAAGTTCTCTCGATCAAGTAACGAGTTTACAGTTCACACATATGTCCCGCCTTCCTGACACATTCCCGCCAACTTCTTTTAATATGGCATCTGCCACTGACCATAGACATACGAAATATATCTATGCTAGAGTCCTAGAAAACAGAGATGCTTCATTGCGTCAGTTGGGTTAGTAATTACCGCCATTTTAATTTAGTATAAGGGCGAATTCACACCTTGACAGAAAAGAGGAAAACAGAAAAGCAGAAGCCAATCAGAATTCGCGCTGGTAGCCGATAGAGTCCTAGATTATCAGAGAAGCGCGACCGGTGTTACGAGTCCTGATTGGACACGCAAATGGCCAATCATAAGATTGATTTATCGCTATTATAAATGGCTGCCGAATAAATCA